AAAAATAAAATAAAATAAATAAAAAATAAAAGTAGCCGGGTGGTCACCTGTAATCCCAGCTACTCAGGAGGCTGAGGCAGGAGAAACACTTGAACCCGGGAGGTGGAGGTTGCAGTAAGCCACGATCACACCATTGCATTCCAGCCTGGACAGCAAGAGTGAAACTTCATCTCAAAAAAAAAAAAAAAAGAAGGTGATATTGCTCCTGGGGAGGATGGGGCTGAACCCTGAAGGGCAGGGCTGCTAGGTACTTTTTCCTACTTTGACTTGATAGAAATGAAGAGGCCACAGGCCAGGTGCGGTGGCTCATGCCTGTAACCCCAGCACTTTGGGAGGCTGAGGCGGGCGGATCACTTGAGGCCAGGAATTTGAGACCAGCATGGCCAACATGGTGAAACCCTGTCTCTACTAAAAATACAAAAATTAGCTGGGCGTGTTGGTGCTCACCTATAATCCCAGCTTCAGGAGGCTGAGGCACAAGAAGCGCTTGAACCTAGGAAGTGGTGGTTACAGTGAGCTGAAATATGGCACTGCACTGCACTCCAGCCTGGGCAACAGAGTAAGACTGTCTCCCCCCACCCCCCACCCCAAAAAAAATTAGAAGGTGTTTTGATTAGAGGTAAAATGTGGCTGAAATGAATGAATATGGTAGCTACCCAAATACTTGTGTGTGTGCTGTGCTTTCTGTTATCTGCAGCCTCCACCATTGCCCTGCAGGGGAGGGGCCTTTGGATTCCGAGGCTCAGTGAGAGGAAATTTGCACTTTGCACTGGGCCTCCTGGCTACCAAGAGAGAAGTCAGGGTTTGAACATAGGCTTGCCTGGTTCCGAAATCTGGAATCTTTCTCTCTCTGCCAGACTGCCCCTGCCTGGAAAGCCATCTGCCAGGGGCTGATGACCCCATGGAGAAGAGGAATAGCTGGCTCGGGTTGGTTACTGCTGCTCCTAAAATGGTGTGTGAGCTCAGGGCACATTTTGGCAGGCACTGGGAGACCTGGCTTTCCTCTGTCCGTTGGGGCTTCAAAAAGCTCAGGCCAAGAATGGAGTCCATGGATTTTTCAGAAATACAAATGTTTTATGGGCACATAACCTTACTTGATAATTCTTACTTGGTAAACGTGACATGTTTCCTGACTGGACTTCTGCTGTTCCAATTTGGTCAATGCCACTGACAAGAGATTGGGGAGGGAGGATTGACCTTAGGTGAGAGATTCTAAGTGTTCCTTGGAGCCAGCCAGGTCTACTTTTGTGTCCTCTAGGACAGTGCCACTCACACTAGTGTTGATGGACCAACTTTAAAAATATTTGTAAGTGGGGATTTATACTTCTATAAAATAAAAAGAACAGGAAAAGAAACTGAAAAAGCCATGCAGAATACAAACTCTAATTTTTCATCATTAGATTCAACAGATACAAAATTACTTTGTCAGTTCCCATAAAAGTTTATAAACTCTTGGCGGGGGCACAGTGGCTCACATCTGTGATCCCAGCAGTTTGGTAGGCTGAGGTGGGTAGATCATGAGGTCAGGAGATGGAGAGAGATCATCCTGGCTAACATGGTGAAACCCTATCTCTACTAAAAATACAAAAAGAAAAAAAAATTTTTTTGAGATGGAGTTTTGCTCTTGTTGCCCAGGCTGGAGTGCAGTGGCAGGATCTCAGCTCACTGTAACCTCTGCCTCCTGGATTCAAGTGATTCTTCTGCATCAGCCTCCAAAGTAGCTGGGATTACAGGTATGTGCCACCATGCCTGGCTAATTTTGTATTTTTAATAGAGACAGGGTTTCTTCATGTTGGTCAGGCTGGTCTCAAACTCCAGACATCAGGTGATCTGCCCGCCTCAGCCTCCCAAAGTGCTGGGATTACAGGTGTGAGCCACCTCACCCGGCAAAATACAAAAATTACCTGGGCGTGGTGGCGCGTGCCTGTAATCCCAGCTATTTGGGAGGCTGAGACAGAAGAATCGCTTGAACCAGGGAGTTGGAGGTTGCAGGGAGCCAAGATCATGCCACAGCACTCCAGTCTGGCAACAGAGCAAGACTCTGTCTCCAAAAAAAAAAAAAAAAAAGTTTCTAAACTCTTATTCTCAATTTCTGTACTGCAGGCAATGCATTTGACTGCAGACTTAGTCTAGTCCTGGACTGGTACTCTTCAAGAGCAGTGATCTAGGAAGAAAGTTTGTTAAGCAAATTAGTAGAATAAACAAGATATTTTTAGAATATTTACCTGATTTTTTTTCTTTTTCTTTTTCTTTCTTTTTTTTTTTTTTTGAGACGGAGTCTTGCTCTGTTACCCAGGCTGGAGTGCAGTGGCTCAATCTCGGCTCACTGCAACTTCTGCCTCCTGGGTTCAAGTAGCTGGCATTACAGGTGCCCACCACCATGCCTGGCTAATTTTTGTATTTTTATTAGAGACGGGGTTTCACCATATTGGGCAGGCTGGTGTTGAACTCCTGACCTCAGGTGATCCACCTGCCTCAGCCTCCCAAAGTGCTGGGATTACAGGTGAGAACCACCATGCCCAGCCCATTTTACCTGATTTAAGAGTAAAAATAATTTCTTTGCATTTAAAATGCTTCACATCTTTTCAGTAAAGTTCCATATTGGCAGGCAGGGATGTAAAAATATACCGATAACTGAAGCCAGTATAGTTGTGAGGGGTCCCTAAGTCTAACCCTAAACTGGTGGCAGTACTTGGAAAAATAGGTGCTTTTACTTCCTTTATTGTTTCTGAGAAGCATTACATAGTCTACTGATTTAATTTACATTAGATTATTTTCTCTGTTAATTTCTGGCTAGCCTTTGAATTGATCTGTATATTTCAGGGCATAATTTTAGGTGCATTCTTTTAGAGGGAAGTTCCCTAAGAGGTTGTGGTTGTGGTTGTGGTTGTGGTCATTGTCATTGTTTTGTTTTGTTTTTCTTGCTCTGTCATCTAGCCTGAAGTGCAGTGGTGCAATCCCAGTTAACTGTCACCTTGAACTCCTGGGCTCAAGCAGTCTTCTCACCTCAGCCTCCTGGATAACTGGGACCACAGGCATGCACCACCACACCTAGCTGATTTTTTATTTTTCCTAAGCAAACTAAAAAAACAGAAAAAGTCTCAAGAGTTGACTATGCTGATAGTAATTATGTGTAATTTAATTGCTGATATTTCAAAATTGGATTTTTGTTCTCTAGCTGCCAGTTATATCTTATATTTGTGGCTTTTTTTTGGCAGGGGGGTTGTCTTCCTTGTTCTGAGATGACTGGCGTGTGCTGTTCTGTCAGGCCAGGGTTCTCTTTCCCTGCCGTCCGAGCCCACTCAGAAGCTGCCTTTCTCAGACAGCCTGTCCGAGGCCACCGCCCCGGGCCCTGCTACTCACTCACAGCACTCAGCCGAGCTGCCTTCAGCCCACCTTGCTGCATAGCAGCTCCTCCCCTCCACTGGCCCCCTTTCTCCTCACTTCAAAGTCAGGACTCCCTTTTGTTTTGTATGGTGCTTTGTATTACACTTTTCAAGGCTCTTTCATGTATATATTCTCTTATTTCATCCTCCAGACAATCCCATGAGGTTGGTAGAACAGAGATTTTCATCTCCGTTTTAACTGAGGTGAGGCTGGGAGAGTGTCCGCATGGCATGTACCCTCATTCCTTTGCCCTGGGGCTCCCAGAGCTGCTTGTTACCACTCAGGTCCAGACTTCCACATGTGCAAGGTTTTGAGTTTGCTCAAACATGCCTATAATTTTGAGGTCCTCTTTTCTACTCATTATTTATATTTGTTATTGCAAAGTCAAACATTAGACTACTTGGTTCAGTGTCACAGGCCTCTTTGGAAGAAAGAAATCTTCAGAACCTGAGGGGGCGGTCAGTAGAGAACTAGAGCCGGGAGCCCCAGAGGGCCACGCAGGGTAAACTGGGTGTCTTGAGGGGCAAGTTCTGTTTCAGGGTTAGTTGTCTCCACCAGAGATTTTCAGACAAGAGTGGGAGGGGATGGGTTTCCCTTATTTCACCGATAAAAGCCCAGCATATTGGGATGACACAGAACATTTCTCATGAAGAAAAGAATTATTCTTGAAAGGAGGGAGGGCACATTGAAAAATTGCTTTACACTCAAGTGAGAAATCATTTGCTTTTGACTCTCTTTCCCCATCCCCTTAATGGTCAAACAGACCTGGGTTCCAAATCCAGTCCTGCCGCTTACTAGGTAGGTATGGTGACGTTGGTCAAGTTATTAAACTTCCCTAAACTTGTTTTCTCATCTGTAAAATGGGTAAAATATTGTCCACTTTGGAGCATTATTTTTAGGATTAAAGATGATGCATGTAAAGCACCTTGATTATGACCTCGATAAGTGAGTGTTCCCTGAAACCTAATTCAGAAGAGGGATTTTGACCCAGGAGGAGCCAGTGTATAGCATGGGCTCCAGCAGTGGTTCTTAGACTTGAGCAGGCATCAGAATCACCTGGAAGGCTCTTTAAACTACAGTTTGCTGGCCCTACTCCCTCCTGTAGTTTCTGATTCATTTAGTCTGGAGTAAGGTTTGCGATTTTGCATTTCTAAGTTCCCACATGCTGCTGCTGCTGCTTCTGGTTTGGGGACTACACTTTGAGAACCACAGGGCTACAGGTAACTGACCAGTGGACATTTAGGTGCTGTAGACGCATTTGAAAGCTGAGCTTTTATGTGGCTCCTCTGTTAGATACTGATTGAAATGCATTTTGAAAATACGGAATTTAGTATCTCAAGGGTATTTTCTGCTGAAGTGTTACATATATTTGAGGGAGAATAAGTTGTGAAAGTAACAGTTATATTATAGCTAGTCTAATAATATCTAGTTGGCTAAGGTATGTGAAAGTGCTTTTATAAAATGTAAGATGAATGTTAAGTCACAACTGAAAAAATATTTTAAATAACTTCATTTTTAAGATTAAACACCATATTGGAGTATAAAATATTATAACTTAGATTTCTCATCTCAATGTGCTGTTTACTATATGTATTTTTCTCTTTCTCCTCCAGGCTGCTGACTTGAGTAAACCAATAGATAAAAGGATATACAAAGGAACACAGCCTACTTGTCATGACTTCAACCACCTAACAGCCACAGCAGAAAGTGTCTCTCTCCTAGTGGGCTTTTCTGCAGGCCAAGTCCAGCTTATAGACCCAATCAAAAAAGAAACTAGCAAACTTTTTAATGAGGAAGTAAGTAGCACCCTGTCTTAGCTGTGAAGAATCCCTTTAAGAATTGGTGCGTTCTTACCAAGGGTAGTGGGCCTTATTTGGCAGTTCAGGCTAAGCCCATTTTTTATTCGCTCAGCCCTCCTCCCTAGTACACCCAGGTTTAAATGTGGTGGATTAATTTGTTGACCTTACCTGTTCCCTTGGGGTAACTGTTTTGTGCATTTTTATGGAGCGTGCTCAGGTGTCTGTAACAGGTGTTTTAAAACTCTTCTGTAGTGGTGATAGGGACAGTACTGTAACTTGGTATTTATAATTTAAGAAAATGTAGAATTCCAGTCTTGCTTCACATCACCGAACATTTCATGCAGATCAAAGAACTTGATAACATTTCCTTAGGCTGCTTAAATTGTAGCTAAAGCTTCTGTATGTATGTTTGACAGGCATTTGGCTAAGGAGTACTTCACTTGCTCTTGAAAATAGTTGCTGTAAACTCACCTTTGACGTAGTTACTAATCCTGGCACTTAAATTTGGGTCACATGACATAGCTTTTGCCAGTGTTGTAGTATGTACTGGGGTTTCTGGTATCTTCAGTTTCATTCTGGAAAGAGCTTGAGATAGCTGAGCTGTCTGTTCAGGAACATGTCAGGACTATTAAATGTGGCATATAGAAATTGCCAAATAGATTATGTTTTTCAAAGCTATTGGAGCATCTTTTAGCCTCAGGTATTGCTATTTCATATTTAATGTTCTTCCTCCTCTGTTTCAGTATGACTTTTCTACCAAATGGAAAAGATAAGGTAGGCTTGCTGATTTAGAAGCCCTGGGTTCCAATCTCTACTTGGGACCTCACCCCTGATGTGCAAGGGTCAGGCTATGTAGGACCCCTCCCTTAGAAAGGATAAGTGCTTTTGCATTGTTGCAGGATTTTAACATCATTAACTTGGAACAAAAACACATTATAGAGTATGGTTTTTAAGAAATAATTTTGTTTGGGGAAGAAAATTCAACTTGACAAATGGCAGTTAAAATTTGGATTCTTTGGTGGTCATGCTATTTGCTATTCATGCAAATTCAGTATCCATCCAGGGTGCTCCTGTTTGACATTGCCAGTGGATTTGATGAGATCTATGAGCCATACTGTCTCTTCTAGTTTCCCCTGAGTTGACTGGAAACAAAACTTGTCATCTGGACTGACAGACTATAGAGGAAAAGTATTTAATTCCATTTTCCATTTAAAAATGTTAAGCAGAAAATATTTTATTTACCTAGATGTTTTATTAATATCATCTGAGGAAGTGATTCTTAAATAGCTGGATGATTATTTTTTTGATGCTGGGTCACGGGAACAGCACACAAAATTGACCTCCTCTGCACTGTTAGCAGAAATTGTGAATTTGGCATTGTTGTGTTTTTGTTGTTTAGGTAGGGGAGAGTGTGATTGAGGGGGCAGGGATTGGAGCCATGGAAAGGGCTGTTAGTAAACAAGACCCGGAGGCAACCCTGGCCCGGGATGGTACAGAATGCCGCTTAGAGAACAAGAAAGGTTTGTGTGTAATGGCAGGGGGAGGGCCAGGAGTTGGAGACCACATGTCACTGGAATCTCAGGGCTCTGGGAGCACTCAGGCTGCATCAGCCAGACCATCCCTGCCCTGGTGACTGAGAGTTGCAGGCTGGAAGGCAGCTTCTCATTCTTCATGATTTAAGTATGAGTTATCTCATACTCATTTTACATTTTATTTGAAAAATGGCTATTTAGAATGCTAGGACTATGTGTGGTTTAATGCCAGCTTGACATTTACAGCTTGAAGCTGAAATTGATTGCTCTTCATGGTAAGGAAATTCTTTAGCAGTGTGGATACATTTTTATCAGATTTTGGTCAGAATGTCTAAGGTGAGCAAGGGTCACCAGAGGTTTGTTCCCTGGAGAGTGCCAGGCATGGTGGTAAAGTACTCATCGTGCTGTGCCTTGCTGTGGTGTGAGATACAGAGGTTTTACCTATGGCCTCTCCAGGGAGGGTGGGCGGTTCTTCCCATTTCACAGATGAGGAAATAGTCAAAGATCAGGCAAGTGAATTCTCCAGATGAGGTAGCAAGTTGATGATAGAGTTGGAACCAGAAGTTAATTCCAGAAACTCTTATTGGTTATAGGCCCCACCATGCATGGTTGCCAGATCAGCGCTTGCCCTTCTGGGAGCTCACAGTGCAGGAAGGATGGACAGAGATTACTGGGCATGTGTATGCATAGTGATATGAACAAAATACCAAGGCATAGCTGCCGCGGGAGTTCTGTAGTGTGTGTCACATATCATAAAGTTTTTAAAAATGTTAAGGTCGCTGGGGGAGTTCCAAGAAATGCTTTCAGAAAGTGATGTTTGATCTGCATCTTAAAGGGTCCATAGTTGTTAGAGGAGAGTAAGGAAGGCCTTCAAAGCTTGAGAAACAACTAGGCATGTGAAAGAGCATCCAGTAACAGCATGGGCACCTCACACAGTGTAGGATTTGGAGTGGCAGGGTTCGAAGCTGGAAAGATGCGTTAGAGCCAGCTTGTGTTATAAAAGCCCTTTGTGTCCTGCAAAGAAATTTGGAGCTGACACTGGAGGATGTGGGGGAAACTTTGGCCTCTTAATCAAGGGAGTGACAGGATCAAATATGTTTTTTTAGAACTCTTGTCAGCACTTGTGGAAGGTGGATTGGAATGAAGAAAGACAGAATGAAGGTAGCAAGACCAGTGAGGAGGCTCTAGTAACTGTCCAGGTGAGAGCTGAGGGCTTGAACTAGAGTTGTGACCGTTGTTTCATTTATTCAGGACTTTGACTACCTACCACATGCCCAGCACTGGGCCTGCAGCAGCAGGCAAAACCTGCCCACCTGTGACCTTTGTCAGGAGGGAAGAAAGGTATAATAGCACCACCCAGGCACACTGGGGTGTGCCATGTCACAGATGGTGACACTTTGTGATGTAAAAAGCAAGAGAGCAGGTCTGAGAAAGGGAGAGAATCACAGAGGTCTACTTTATTTATCTATTTATTTATTTATTTGACAGAGTCTTAATCTGTCATCTAGGCTGGAGTGCAGTGGCACGATCTGGGCTCACTGCAACCTCCACCTCCCAGGTTCAAGCTGCTCTTGTGTATTACCTACCCAAGTAGCTGGGATTACAGGCATGTGCCACGACGCCCAACTAATTTTTGTATTTTTAGCAGAGACAGGGCTTCACTATGTTGGCCAGGCTGCTCTGGAACTCCTGGCTTCAAGTGATCTGCCCACCTCAGCTTCCCAAGGTGCTGGAATTACAGGCGTGAGCCACCACGGCTGGCCAACACAGAAGTCTACTTTAAATTGGGAGGCAGAGAACATCTCTCAGAGGAAGTGGTATGCTTTAAGCTGAGCCTCATGTGAGAAGAAGGCCAACCAGGTAAGAAACTGGAGATGGAGCATTCCTGCAAAAGGAATAGCAGGCGAGGGCCCTTGAGACCAAGGAAACTGGAAGAAGGACAGTTTACCTGGGAAAAGCGGCATGAAGTAAGGGCATGAGATTGGAGGGCCACAGCACTTAGGGCCTGATCCAAAATTGTTTCTTAACCCAAAGTATCAGACCCCTTAAAAGGGAGCAGGTGCACAAGGCAGACAGATTGGTGTTTTTGAAAGGTACCCTGGCTGCTTCTTGGAGACTGAATTGGAGAGATATATTAATAAATCCTAGGTTTCTGGCTGCCTCTTGCTGCATTGGGTGAGACTGGGAAGGGAGCAGTTGTCAGGGAATGGAGGGGAAGATCAGAGGTTCTGGTCTGTGCTTGCCAAGCTTGAGAGACCTGTAGATAGTGGGACGTATGGATCTGGAGTACAAAACTAGTGGTAACAATTTGGCAGTTGTCAGCATAGAAGTAATAATCACATCCTTGAGATAGATGAAAGGGTCTTTGGAGAGAGGATGGTGAGAACAAAGAACGCATGGGACTGAGCCCTGGTTATGCTCCAAGATTCTGGCCATCTCATCTACTGCTTTCAAAGGAGCACTTACCACATAGTTCATTACCATGACATTTACAGCTTCACAGCCCAGAATGCTGAGGGCTTGGCCACCAGCTCGGCCACTTTCTGCTTGCAGGATGTGGGTCTTACCTCTCCTCCTCGGTTGGAAAATGGGTGGGAACAGCACCCACCTGAGAGGTTTGTGGTGAGGCTCAGATGAATTGGTTCAGGCAAGGTGTTTGTGAAGGGCCTGAAGAGCAAGCCTTGGCAAATGCTCAGCAACGTGGAGGTTGAGAGAAACTCAGAGGCTTCCTTTCCTGGGAGGGGTGGCACTGGAAGGAAAGACTTCTGTGGGAGGTGAGATACCAACAGTTTTGAAAGATAAATAGTTTTCTAGGACAAACAGGTAGGATCACAGCAACCCAGACAGAGGATCAACATGTGTGAAGCTGAGAGTCGGCCTGCTGGTCACAGTTACAGCCATGTGGCCTTTCAGTCTTCCTCACCAGAACACCTCTCAGACCCACCTGTTACCACGTGACTGTGCACATACCTGCACACACCGAATCCCAGCATCAGTTATTTTGCCTCCTTTCTAGTGCCTGGTACATGAAAAAATAATTGTTGGGATGGATAGATGAATGAAATAGAATTAGAAATTTCAGAAATCTACCTGAGATAAACACAGATAAAAAATTCCCATCTGCGAACAAGTGTGTGTGTGTGTGTGTGTGTATTTTTTTTTTCTTTTCTTTTTTGAGACTGAGTCTTGCTGTGTCACCAGGCTGGAGTGCAGTGGTGCATCTTGGCTCACTGCAACCTCCGCCTCCTGGGTTCAAGCAATTCTTCTGCCTCAGCTTCCCAAGCAGCTGGGACCACAGGTGAGTGTCACCATGCCTGGCTAATTTTTGTATTTTTAGTAGAGACAGGGTTTCACCATGTTGGCCAGGATGGTCTCGATCTCTTGATCTTGTGATCCACCCACCTCGGCCTCCCAAAGTGCTGGGATTACAGGCATGAGCCACCGCACCCGGCCGAACAAGTGTATTTTAAAAGGTGATTTTCCCCCTGTCATTTAAAAGTTGTGTGCATTTAAAATGCTTGTTGATGAAAAATTGGAAAATAGAGAAATACAAAGAAGGTAGGAAAGCATCATCTCTAAACCCCAGTGCTCACTGTTGACTTTCACAGTCTATGATAGTTTTCAATGAGGTGAGACCATAGGGCTCACGCCTTCCATTGTAGGTGAAGGCAAACTAAGTCTGACCACTGATCAGGTCAGCCCAGTGAGTATGGGCAGGCCCTGCTCTCTTCCCGCTCTCTGGGACTGTCCCCAGTCACACTGGACGTCCCTGCTGGTGCACCTGTTCAAGACCCACAGAAAGTCGAATGCCCAGTCCTTTCCAGCCTCTCTCAGGAAGTCACATCCCCAGCTCCCTGGAGTCTCTGCTTTCCCCAGCCTTTCAGAGTAGACTTTGGGTTTCTATTTGTAGCCATCTGTACGTATGATGCTCTTGAAAATGTCTAATGGGCCATAATTGAAAGTATCTTGGTGCACAGTTCATCTGACAGGCTCCCAGACCAGGGAGCCCATCCTCGTCATCAGAGCTGCCCACAGAGGAGAGTTACCCGGCTCACACTCAACCTGCTGTGAAGCACCCCAGAGGGGCAAGGAGTTTACTTTTTTGGTGTTTGTGTGTATGTATGTGTGTGTGTTTTGTGTAATGTGTGTGTGTAATTTGTGTGTGTGTGTGTGTGTGTGTGTGTGTGTGTTTTCACTCTACCCTGTTCTGATGTTTACTTTTTATAACTAGCAATGATATATTTGGGGAGAAAGAGTTAAAAAGGGACAATTCTTGTATAGTGATGAAAGCAACCTTGTCTTTGTAAAAATCCTGATTTTGGAGTGTATTCACAGAATAGTAACTTCAAAGGATTTTCGAGTATGTGTTCATTATTGGCTGAAATAGAAAATGTAAAAGAGTTTGGCATTTGCCTTTTTCTGACATGACTCTGCTCTTGCCCTTCTCCTCCGCAAGGTTGTAAGGCTGAGGCAGACACACTGGGTAGGCACCGCATCTCCTGGTGCAATTTCAATCCAGTCTTGCTGAAGAGGAGATGGCCCTGACTCCTGGAGTATGGAGGGACACTGCTGCCAGCCTAAGCTGGTGGCATATCCCGCCAGCTCTCGGTGCCTCCCAGGTGTGGGAGCTTAGCGATGTTCTGTCTATTTTGACACAAAAGAATGGTCTGCACATTTTGTTAGTTTTGTTTTCGTTGCTTTTCTAATCGAAGGAAGGAAATGAGCCCGTAATGATCTATTCCTTAAAGCTTGAACATAGATAAAATGATATCCGATCCTTTCTTCACATGGCTTTGAAATACCCTTTCCTGATACTTCCTGAGCCCTCTTCAAAAGACTTGACATAATCAGAGCCTTTAGTTGCTGTTTTTGCTTGTGGTTGCATTATGGTTTTCTAGCAGCTGCTGTGGTTTTTGAATTGTTTCAGTATTTTTGTTATAAATTAATATCTGCGTTTTGAAATGCAGATCCCCCAATCTAATTTTTGGTTTTTGCTTATCTTATTGATAGTAGTGGAGAAAAAGAAAAAGAAAATGAAGTGCCTTAGAAAGCATCAGTGTTAGTTGCTTTCACAGTGACACTTTAATGTGGTTATAGACTTATTTTTATTCTTGTTTCCTTTTAACTAGTGTAGTGTATTTAGAAAATCTTATCAGTTGATGGCATTTGGGATGGTAGTGTTTTCGTTGTTCCTGTGATTTTTCTTTTTATTCATATATGAAGTGGCACGATCTATTTGGATTTCAGAGCTGGAAGCATGGGGAGGGCTGGGCTGAGTGCTTGGTGGGGTCATGTTGGGGCCTGGATCTCCAGAGCACTGGCCCAGAGCATGTGTCTTGATGTACACAGAAATGTGTCCATATTTTGTTTTGCTTTTTGTGTGTGAGACAGAGTTTCACTCTTGTTACTCAGGCCGGAGTGCAATGGTGTAACCTCAGCTCACCACAATCTCCACCTCCCGAGTTCAAAGGATTCTCTTGCATCAGCCTCCTGAGTAGCTGGGATTACAGGTGCCTGCCACCATGCCCAGCTAATTTTGTATTTTTAGTAGAGATGGGGTTTCTCCATGTTAGTCAGGCTGCTGGTCTCGAGTTCCCGACCTCATGTGATCCTCCCGCCTCGGCCTCCCAAAGTGCTGGGATTACAGGCATGAGCCACTGCGCCCGGCCTTGTTTTGCTTTTAAGGTTTATTTGTGTTTTGGGTGTTCTGTTTTTATGAAAGTGGTTATTAAGCATGGGCCTTGGGGCATTTTGGAGTTGGACTCTAAAGGAGAGCCCTGTGGCCAGACCAGCGGCTCTGCTAGCGCCTCTGTTGCTTCCCCTGCCTTCTCTTCTGCTCGTCGCTGAGTACCTGCCCTGCCCATCACTCAGTACCCCTGCCCTGGAAGGGCTGCAACTGGGACTGCCGCTCTCCTCCACTGCTTCCCACCAGAGCCCTCCTGCCTCTGCTTCTCCCTGTTCCCCAGAGCCTCCTTTCTGGCCCAGGGAGCAGGTCCCTCCCCTGTCTCTCTCTCCTGGACCTCACTTTCCTCCACCAGGCCCCTGCCCTGCACCCTCCTCCCCTACGGTGTCCCTTTGCTCTCAGCACCTTCTCTGCTCCTCACTCTGCTTCCCTGTGCTCTCTCCTAAGGACCCCACCTCCCTGCGCACTCCATCCCTCTAGGGCTCAGCTTCCTCAAGTCTCAGAGGCCTGTTCTCT